ATTGGATTTTTCCCAGGCGGGTGAAATGCGGACCCCGACTGTGGGGGCGATATGCTGACTCTGTAAACTGCTTAGAGAGGGCTGAAAGCCCTATGAAGCGGTATATAAGTCTAACTGCTATTGCTATTGCTGTTTAGCATATACTAAATAACAATTCTGAAAGCAAAGTCAATACACATGGTTCAAAGTGCTAAATTTAACCAGGAAAGAATGTTAAATATCATTCTGAAAAGATAAGAGAACCAGTAGTATTCTTATTTAAAGAAGTCTTATTTAAAGAAAGGATTCCATCACGTGCATGGTAGTAATTAGCATGATTACTCCAGTTTAGACGTTAATATTTAATCTGGATAAACCAGAGGAAACTTCCCCAAGTCTTTGATTGTCCTGCACCATAATCTAAGGAAATACCATTGATTCTCCTTTGTGCTCATCGTCTTTCTGCTCTTGAGTTTGTAATAGTTACTTTGAGGAAACATCTACTGTAAGAAAAGGGACTAGCTTACCTTCAACTTCTCCACCAGAGGCAGCTATTTTGTAGAGGCATAAATACGTAGTGCCTACAACATCATTTTTTGTAAGACGATCCCTGCATTTAAATCCATCAATATTCATTTTAAATACACATTATCTTTAAATATTGTGTCTCTAACACTCCCATTTAGAATACTATACTATCTGTCCTATTTCCTTATAGGAACAGTATGAAATTCTGAGTGTCGATTATATAAACAATAACTATATTGGTTAGCAGGACAACAGTATAGAAAATGCAGATGGACATATAGCTAATATCTTAGGGATGTGGGAATGTTTCACTTCCACTGGTAGCCAGCAGATGGCACAATGTGCAATCTTCAAAAAGAGCCTATCATCTACCAGTGGTCTGCAACCTTGGCGACTTTAAGACCTGTGGACTTCAACTCCCAGAGTTCCTCAGCTGGCTTGCCCAAACGTAGCAAAAATATGTACAGCTTATGGAAAAACATTTGTTCTCAGAATTCTAAGAGTTGCTTTGTGGAAGACTGACTGAATAAAAAAGGAAGAGCTTACCAATCATACACCATCAGCCTTATTTTTTCACACATTGAGGGAAACTAGAAAAAAAGAAAACTATGTTATTTATTGAAGTCTTCTTTCTCCTTTTAAAGGTTTTTATTTTCCATTTTATCATTTTCATACACTCACATATATACTGTGCATAGCCGACGCCATACAACATTAAACAATCATCGCAGCAATTCCTCTTAGGTTTAGGTTTAGGTTTAGGTTTAG